TGATTTTTGTATGTTGATCTTGTATACTGCTGCTTTGCTGAATTGGTCAGCTATGCCACTTTTCAACTTTAAGGATCCATATTAATACTGCTTTACAGTAATTCAGGAGTTAGCAAACATTTTCTGTAACAGGCTAGATAGGAAGTATTTTAGGATTACTCAACCCTACCCTATAGTATAAATCAATCAATACAACCTGTGGTTAGATTCCAATAAAACTTCATGAACACTGAAATTTTTATTTCAGTCAATTTTCAAATGTAGCAAATTATTATTGTTATTATTCTATAATTATCAATTATTTATAAATGTGAAAACAATTCTTGACTAGTTGTTGGTAGGTACCATTGAATCAACTACAACCCATAGTGAGTGACCCTATGGAGTTATTGATCTGAACCTTGCCCTAATCTTATGCCATCCTCACAACTTCTCATGCCCATTGTGGCAGTCATGGGGTCAATCCATCTTATTGAGGGTCTTCATCGCTTTCATTGAGCCTGTGCCTTTCTGAGCATGATGTTTCTCTCCAAGGACTGGTTCCTTCTGAAAATATGTCCAAAGTAAATAAGACCATGTTTCATCACACTTGCCTCTAAGGAGCACTTAGGTTACACTGTCTAAATTTTAAGACAGATTTGTTTGTTCTTTTGGCAGTACATAGGACATTCAGTACAATTCTTTTCCAGCACCAGAATTCAAAAGCATTCATTCTTCTTCAGTCTTCTTTATTCATTTTCAGATGTTTAGGAAGTAACTAAAAATACCTTGGCTTGGATCCAACATATCTTAGTCTTTAAACTAATATCCTTGCAGACTTCCTCGGCAAAACACAACCTTTAATTTCTTGACTGATGCTACCATGAGTGTTGATTTTCAGTTCTTTCTCAAGCTGAAAGAACTGAAGAAAAAAATAAGCTTTGAGTTACAGCTCTGTAGGATTCTATGGGGCAAATTCTAATACTGCACGAATCATCAAAAGAAGAAGGAAGGAATACGCAGAGTCACTTTATCAAGATGAATGGGTTCACACTAAACCATTTCAGGAAATAGCATATACTCAACAACCACATTTCTTAGCTAGAAGACTGTGTAGAAATAGGCAGCAGACAGGATTTAGCTCAAGAACTAGTTTGTCAACCTCTGCTATAATTACAATTGTTCTTCAAGAGAACTGATTCTAGGAATGCCCATCCTCATACTAAATTTCTTCATATAACCAATGCTTATCTTCCTAAATGCTTTAAATCATCTCTCAGAAAATTAATTCTCTCAAGTTGATTGCATTGGGTTTCTGAGGCTGTAAAACTTTCTTCCAAAGAGGATCTGATGAACAAGAAAACCATGCCCAAAATTTGGTTAGAAGTGCAACACATTTAGATTACAATACCAATTGTTGTTGTTGTGTACCATTGAGTCAGAATTGAACAACAGTTGACCCACCAGTGGGTTTTCAGAGGCAGTAACTCACCCCAGAGAAGATTACCCATCTTTCTCCTACAGAGCAGCTGGTAATTTTTAATTTCCTTTGAATTAGCAGCACAATTTCTTACCACTAAACCACCAGAGCTCCTATTATATCATCTCTTGATTATTTATAATACCTAGTACAATGTGAACTTTATTTGAGGGATTGTTTTGACCATTTAATTGCCACCCCCATTTCCTCTGATTATTGGTTGAAACCAAAAATGTATACACTTGAGGAAAGAAAGTGGTAATATAGGAAATCCAGGATTGAAAACTAACCTGTCAAGATTTACACTGGTGGGTTACTGTGTTGTTTTCCTCTGCCACTTCTGTAAAAGCTTTCTAGGCAAACTTGGTTCCAGGCCTCTGGGTTTACAAGCCTGACACCTCGTGGTTGTTCTAAAAGTCGCAGATGCTACCTAGGAAATCACCAGCAATGCATCAGCCTCAGGAGTGTGCATACAAGAAGTGTCAGAACAAGGAGCAGTGGGGCCCAGGAAGTTGTTATTATGACGGTTGAAATGAGGGCCGGAAAACTCTAACTGATTGTTCTCCCCAAAGAGAACTTCCAAAGAACTTTCCTTAGAAACATTTCATTTTTTAAAAAGAATCTCCTCGGTCCCAGGGTCTTTCTCATCAGAAGTGAGAGGATCCTAGAACAGACTCTCACTGGTTTGGTTAGATGATGTCCCACTTGCTGCCATCTCTCTCAGAAGGAAAGAAAAAGGAGCTCAAAAACACCATTTCAATCTCATTCCCCAAAGGACAAAGAAAATGTATTATAGGCTATAGGTGGTTTTGAAAATCAGGTTTACTCTGGGAAATGAAAAAAAAAAAAAAAATGGGAGTTTCAGGGACCAAAGACCAATCAATGAAGTGAGGCAAAATGGGGATACTTGCTGCTGGCCAACCTGTGCCAGGGATATACATCCTTGCACTTAGATGAAGGTTATTTGGTCCATTTAAAAAACAAAATATAATTTAAAAGGACATTTCCCCCTATTCCTTTGACTCCAAAAGTGATTTCCCCAAAACATTCTAGATTGAGTCATCCCCCTGTCCTCTGTTTTCTAGGAAAGGGGATATTGAATGTGCTCTGCTGGGAAGTCCATCCTTTTAACTAGCTCAATATTTCTGAGAATGCAAAGCAAAGGGAGCTTGGTGGGACTTGGTGGCTTTCTTGGATCTAGTTCTAGAAAATATACTTGCCACTATGATCTACTTCCCCTTTAGAGGTAATAGTTCTGAGGTCAGGATGTTGAGCCTCACCAGCCTTGGAAAGGACACCAGCAGGCTAAAGGCAGAGGCTACCCACCAGGAAGGGAGTGCAACAGGGATGCATCCTGCCTCCATACCTTTTCAATCTATTTGCAGAACAGATCATTCAGGAGGCTGACCTTTGTGAGGAGGAATGTGGCATCATGATTGGGGGAGAACTCATCAACAACCTACATTATGCAGATGACACCACCTTGCTTGCTCAAATTGAGGTGTACCTGAAGCACTTGTTGTAGAATTCAAGGGCAGTAGTCTTCAATATGGATTGAAACTCAGTATCAAGAAAAAAATATTTTTACCACTGGGTCAATTGGCAGCACCATGATAGATGGAGAAGAGATTGAGGTTGGTAACAGTTACAACTTGCTCCACAACCAACACTCTTGGCACCAGCAGTCAGGAAATCAAAAGATGAATTGCATTAGGTAAATCTGCTGTCAGGAAACTTTCTAGAGTATTGAGAAGCAAAAATGTCCGTCTAGAGACTAAGGTGCGCCTAATCCAGGCCGTGGTCTTAGCAATTACTTGCTATGCATCAGAGAGCTGGAAAATGGCTAAAGATGATAGAAAAATTGACACCTTTGAGTTGTGGTGCTGGAGAAGAGTCTTGAATGTACCATGAACCACCAAGAAAACAATTAGGTCTGTCTAGGAGAGTGTTAAACCAAGTTTCTCCTTGGAAGCTAAGATTTTGAAACTCCATCTCACATACTTTGGGAATGTGACCAGGAGGGACCCATCCTTAGAGAGAAGGTCATCATTATTGGAAGGGTGGAGGGACAGCAAAGGAGAGGAAGACTCTGGTGAGATGGATTAATACAAGAACTAGGGCAGTGGGGGTAGGTGTGACAGAGTCAGTGAGACTGGCTCAGGACAGGGCAGGCTTCAGACCTATTGTACACAGGGTCGCAGTGAGTCGCAGGTGACTAATGGGCACATGACAACAAGTCAGTGGCCCCACAGGTGGAACTCAGTGAGGTATCAAGCACTGAAAAGTCTTAATCCTGTGATGACTCTAGTGGAAAGAAGGGTGACTTTGTAACCGCCCTTGGGGCACAGGACTTTCCAATCCAGTCCAGGTACGTCATTTATACCAGGACCAGGCAAATGGTCTGAGAGAAGCATGTTGACCTTACCATCTCGACTTCCAGCTCTGCATAGAAATGGGAATGGGGTATGTTTGTTCCTGGAGCTGAGGTCCGGGCGGACAAGGGGAGCATGCCACATTTCACGAAGCACCTACACAACTGGACATTATCCCAGAGGAGCCCAGGGTGTCCAGAGTTCCGGCTGTGAATTCTTAGCGGTCTATTTATCCTCTACAGAGCTCATCCTCTTATTATCTCTGGCAGCTTCTGCATCCTGAGACCACAGGACTAGTGACTTCTGCCACTGTCTGTTCCAGCTCGCTGGCCCTTCAGATGGAGAATTAACAGAGCGCAGGAGGTGTTAAAATCCAGAGGGCTGCGCCCAGTGTTCCTGTACAGCGCGCTTTCTAGAGTGACCTTACACACCTTCCTCCTGACTTTCCGGTAAGAACTCTGGAAATTTCCCCTGCTCTCTCTTCTAACACAGTAGGATCTCTGGGGTGACTGCAGGGATCCAGCCGCCAACAGGGAGGTCAGTGCCCTAGTCTCTTGGGACGAAGTGTCTTGGTGCCCTGCCCCAGGAGGGGGGCAGGCAGGGCGCCATGAGAGCTCTGCTTGGGGCCAGACCAGCACTCGCAGGGTTAATATGGAGACGGGGCGGGAGGGGGGGGGGAGTTAGAGTTGACATTTAAAGAAAGGCAAAGTCTCAGTAACTGCTGATTGGTTTTACATTTCATCCAATTTTTTTCCCTCCCCTCTCGCTCCCTCTTTTCAGTTTCTCTCTGATCCCAGGGGAGGGGAAACGGGAATAGTGAGAGATCAAAAATAAACCTCTTAGGTCAAAGGGGGAAGGAGGTAAAAATACGGAGGGCTCCACGGCCCTCCGGCCTCTTTTTGGGCTGCAGGGGAGGTGGGAGGCGGCCGCGGGGCAGGGCGGAGGAGGTGCACTGTCCCGGCAGTAGCTGGCTACGGCGTGCAGAGCTCGGGGGAGAGGCCACCAGGGGCCGCCTCAGGGAGCCGCCTGCCCCGGTGCATACTGCCCGGAGCCCCGCGGCCGGGGCGCGCGGCGCCTCACCTATGGTGCTTTTCCTGAAGAGCACAGGACACGCGCTCCGGGCCGCCAACACCTGCCCGCGGCGCTCTCCGCGCCGCCCCGCGGTCCCCATGACCCCGCGCCGCCCGGACTCGTGCCGGCCGCCCCTGCAGCTGCTGCCGCTGCTGCTGCTCCTGCCACTGGTGCGCGCCGCCCCAGCCCCGCGCAGTCCCCGGGCGCCGGCCGCTGAGCTGGTGGTGCCCACGCTGCTGCCCGGCGGCGAGGCGAGGCTAGCGCTCCACCTGACAGCCTTCGGCAGGAACTTTGTGCTGCGCCTGGAGCCCGACGCCAGCTTCTTGGCGCCCAGCTTCCAGGTCCAGCACGTCGGGGCTTCTGGAGAGCCCGCCGGCGGTGAGGCGCGGCTGCGCCACTGCTTCTTCTCGGGCACTGTGGACGGCGAGCCCGGGTCGCTGGCGGCCGTGAGCCTGTGCGGCGGTCTGAGCGGATCCTTCCTGCTGGCGGGCGAAGAGTTCTCTATCCAGCCGCTCGGCGGGAGGCGCTCGCTCGGCCAGCTGCACCGCCTGCAGCGCTGGGGGCCTGGCTTTGAGCACCTCCGCGCCCGCACATGGGCCCCGAAGCAGGGCGTGGAGAGCGGAGCCGGACGGCAGCCGGGAAGAGAAGCCGAGGGGCAGGAGGAGGAGGAGGAGGCAGAAGAAGAGGAAGCAGCCGACTCCAGAGAGCTCTCAGAGCCCCTGGGGGTCACGAGTAGGATAAGGCGGTTTGTGTCCGAGGCTCGCTTCGTGGAGACATTGCTGGTGGCTGACGCGTCCATGGCTGCCTTCTATGGGGCTGACCTGCAGGTAGGACCCTGTCACCTTGCTTGGCACTCCCCGGATACCTTCTGAGCTCCTCCAGATTCTTCCCTTCCTCTCACGTCCATCACCCTTCCAAGTGCACCCCAAACAGATCCCCCATTGCGGCTTTCTGAGAGGCACCATGACACTTGATTACTTTCTGCCACCCAAGCTGCTTTGCCCCATCCCCAGTCCCAGCATGTAGAAGGTCCCAGCACACCCTCTCTGCTCATCTTCCCAACCCCAGAATCCCACATCCCCAAGCACTAACCCCAGTAGGATTAGAAAGCACCTGTCTGTCTCTCTTAATGTCTGTTCAGAACAGACATTAAAAAGAACTCTTTGGAAGAAGCACCAGCCTCACTCCTCTTTCCTTAGGCCTGTCTTGTCTCTGGATCCCAAAGGCTCCAAAGGAAAGCACAGGAGTGAAAGATATGGCTATTGCATTCCCCTCTGAGACTGGGCTGAAGTAGCCATAAGCAAAAGGCATTGTTTCCAGGGGCTTGAACCTGGCAGGGGGATGCTGAGCCTCCTGTGTGCCCAGCTGGTTCTGATCAAGGGACATGAGCTACTTTGCCAGCCTGGCCCACAGCCCTGGCAGACCTCAACTGTGCCAGCATCCAACACAAGAAGGGAGGGGAGCAGAACTTTTGCCTAGGGGCTCAGCCCTGAAAACTGATGCTTCAATGCAAAAGGGGAAAGAGGAAGGGGGTTTTAACTCTTGAAGTGACTGTTTCTGCAGCCCCAGCACTGTGCTTGCTCTGTTTATGCTGCTTTCAGCTCAGCCAGGGCTTGAAGCTGAGCTGGGGCAGGACAGCTGAATTCAGAGGAGACATTGAAGCCCAGATCTTTTCTAACCGAACTTAGGGAATGGATTCTGCAGGTAGTATCTGTCAGCCATGCCAGCCTCACCACGTCCCTCAAGGATGCAGGTAAAGTATTAGGGTTTCCCTCTTGTTAGCAGCAGACAACCTGAGATATGCCAGTGGTGAGACCGAGAGTTTTCTGGAGTAGGGAACCTGGCAGCCGCTGAGGCTGGAGCTACTTCGTCAGTGATGGCATCTTGGCTAGGGCCCCTGGTCTAGGCTTAGCCTTACTCATGCAGAGTAGTGCAGACAAGGCATGATCAACACTCATGTTTCTCACTCTATCCTTCCCATCGTGCAGTCACTAGGAGGTGTCCTCTTGCTAGAAAGGTACAGGAAACCCTGCTCTGGCTTCTCCCAGGGAGCAACAGCCTGGAGGCTTTAAGTTCACAATGAGGTTTTCTCTGCCACCATCAGCCTTCTGCTCCTTTCTCCAGCAAATACTTGGGAAGGTGGCAGGAGAGAAGTGAGGAGCAAGGGAGGACTTTCCCTATTAGGACCACAGGACCTGGGTTTCTGAAAACTTTGACAGAAAGGCCTAAAATGAATTTATGCGGACCAAAAGCTAATATATTCTGACTCCCCAGCACAGAGATCAGATTATGGACAAGCTGAGAACCACAGCCATTCCCACACACACCTGAGCACCCAGCCAAGAGCTTATCAAAACAAACATCAGCACCTCTCTCTAGGGAATCTACATCTAGGTCTTAAAACTCTCTCAGCTGGATCAGCTACTCCACACCCACCCTCATCTTGATTTTGTTATGCTCTGACACACCTCCACTTCTGATGTCATCATTTTGTGTAAGAGGACTGGACGAATGTGCCTTTTCCGTTTTGAAAATAAAGAGGAGTGAAGGGTTACCCCATAGGCCCTCATTCTGTTTGTCTCTTCCTTTTGCTTCAATCCCACCTCCTCCCAGCACTGTCTAGACCCTGGAGAGGCTCCAGGAAATCATGGCACCTATTACTGGAGTGTGCATTTCTATGTTGCCACCTCGTACATTTGCTCTTCCAGGTGCACTGCAAGGACAAAAGTGGGAACTAGCAAAGCGTCCCAGGGGACATCTCAGACCGGAAAGTGCTGTGGGGAATGTGGTCATCCAGGTCCCCTCTAGAAGTGGCTCGGGCTGCCACGTGAGCTCTGCGCAAAGGGTTTCTTTGTACCGCAAAGAACCCAGAAAGATTCTATCCCAGCCTAACTGGCTAGGTCCTGGGGCACCAACAGAGGAGGAGACTCCTGAAAAATGCCCTGCCTTTCCCTAAAGAAGCGTAAGGACATGCTATTCAAACATGTTGATGCTTGACCACCCCTACCTGGACTGAACTTGGGCGTCTGCCAACCTGACACAATTTTAAGAATTAATCTCCTGTGCTGGACCCCCCACCCTATTGCACAGGATTCTTCTCACAGTCTTCAGTCAGCAGCCTGCACTTGTGTGATAAATAGGGAGGTATAAATAGACAAAGGTGGGAACAAGCCATCTGACCTTTTCCTTGACCAGCTGTGCCTCCCCCTGTGATGACTGGAAACTAGACCTGCTCTTTTGACCGAGGAGATTGGACCAGAATCAGCAACTCAAAGAATTAGCCCTCTTCCCAGCTCTTCACCCAATACTCCCTTCACCCTCACCCTCCACCAGAATCAGTGACTCCTTCCCTTGCTCCCACTGCCATTAAACAGGAACTGACTCATAGTTGACTCTCGAGGGGGATTTCAGTCCATTATAGGGCTGATTAGATCACAGGGGAGTAGATTTTCCATCCTTATTTCCAGGAGCGAACTGATGAACTTGAACCAGCCACCTTTGAGTTGGCAGAACAACTGTCCTACTCACTAAACCACTAGAGCTCCTTCGTGCTAGTGAAATGCATTGCAGATGGTAGGCATGCCTGCCACTTGCTTACAAGGGCTCAGTGAAGAGGAAATGTGGAAGAACTTCCAGGCTCTCAAAGTTTCAGGAGATTAAAGAAGTAGTAGAGGCAAATGGAACCAAAGTTTTTACTTTAAAAGGAAGGTAAGACCAGTTGTCAATGAGTCTGTTCCAGCTCCTGTCAGCTTTCTATGTGTCAGAGTAGACTGTGCTCCTTGTCCTTTATATGGCTGTGGCCTTTGGGAAGCAGACCCCCAAAGTTCCTTCAGAAGTCTCCAAGGAGACTCAACCTTCCAACCTTTCAGTCAGTAGCAAGCACTTAGACACCTGTGCCACACAGGGGCATTCTGAGTAAGTAGAAGGGGCCTTACCATATCCTCAAGTTCATCCCACTGCCTTGAAGTAAAACGGTCCTCAAGGCAGCTTATCCTGACATTCTGGAGAGACTACCACAAGTGTCCCCTGAACTATGAGAGAGAACTTCTCTGGACAATTGAGTGTCATCAGATTTTTGTTTTGTAGGACGCTCCTCCCAGTATCTTACTATCCTTCATGTGGCTCTTTTGCTCATCACCCTGTGGGTTGTCACTTAGAATAGGGAAGCCGTGCTATCTTGTGCTCCACAGCATTGCCTCAAAGTTCCATCTGATCCCTGCCGCATTGAGTCATAGCCCATCCTTGAACCTCAGGTCTCCAGTACTTGTGCTGAACCTTCCTGGGCTCATGCTTAGCAGCTGGCATCTCTTCTCTTCACATCTCCTAAGACATTGTTTGGCCCAATTATCAGATTGTGAAACTAAGGCTCAAAGAGGAGACATCTTGTGAGGACAGTTAGAGGTTGCCTCAGAAGACATTCCAGAGGCTGACCTCTGACCCCTTTGACCCTCACCCTTTTGCAATGAGAGCCCAGAGACTCTTCTGTTTTGGATGCAATCTTCACTGTGCGTTGGCTGCAGCCAGCAACCATTCCTAAGCCCTCATTCTTAGTTGCATAATGATCTCTTTTTTTTCTTTCCCCCTTATAAATCCTACTCCAGGAGCAAATGCCAAGTTTCGACTTCGCTGATAAGATGTTTACATCAGCCTGGACATAGCTGGAATGTTTGACAGGCTAAGTAACCTGGCAGCCTATTTGTAAGGCTAGGAAAGCACTTGGCTCCTTGCCTGAAAGGTGAACAGACAAATCCCATTCATAAATACTGGGATTTGCCTGGAATGCCTGCACATGACCACACCCAATAGAAAGTCATTCTTTCCCTTTTCCTTTCTCGTTTCCACCTTCCAGACCACAGAAGAGAAGAAAGGATCACAAAGTGATGTTCTGGGGCCTAGAGGCAGGACAGGCAATGGGCAGCTCAGCTGGCCATACCCCTGGTGGAAGATCCTAACCAGTCTTGCCCCACTGTCTCCCCTTCTGTGCAGTAATCCAAGAAGGCCCACTTCAAGAGACCTGTGAGGCAAAGAATGAGCTCCAATCTGGCCCGTTTTCAAAATCTTGGGATCTAGCCTGAAAACCGTTGGCAGCCATGGAGCCAGGGCCTCACAGAGATGTAGGCTCCCTCAGCAGAAGGGTCTAGTTGAACAGGAAGCATGGCTTCATCACATTCCAGAAACCCAAATCAGTTGCCATCAAGTCAGTTCTGTCTCGTGGTAACCCATATGTGTCAGAGCAGAAGTGTATCCCAGGCTGGTTTTGGCAATAGGTTGGCCTTTTTGGCTTACCTCTGGGTGTGTTCGAACATCTAATCTTTAGGTTGGCAGCTTAGTGCTTAGCTATTTGCACCACCCAGGGGCTCTCTGGATGTCTAACTAAGCCTGTGTATTCTTTTAAGCCACAAGCAAAATAACTAAACCCTAGAGCTGTAAAGGCATAAGCCAGTAGGACACACACTGGAAAAAGTAACAGAAAGACCATAGTCTCTACAAAGTGAACACCCTGGGCTGGCATTCTTGCTCCATGCCCAGGTGACTACAGGCACATTAGGTCACTTGGGTGAACCTCCACTTTTTCATTCATATGATGAGGACAGCACTGACTTGACCATGATGGGGAGTGACAGGTAGTGACTGGAACAGAGCGAGGGTGCTGGGGAGCTTGGATAGCAGGGAACATTAGAACAGAGCTTGCAAAGGTAACAATTCTCACTCTCTCCCTTCCTGAAGAGTAGCAGTGATCTCAGCAGACATCAGAAGAATTCTCAGCTTGATTCTAAGAGGGGAATTCTATCAACCTTGAATATTGAGATAATTGCTCCTAGGCTGAGAGAGAGGAGAAGCTGGAGCCTGTTGGAAGGGAGACAATTGGTGTCTTAAGTCAAGGCATCGAATGAAGTGTTTCCCAAATGCAGTCTAGAGCGTCAAGGCTTGTCTTCACCATCTGCGATTTAGAGGTAAAATAGCTTCCTGTTGTTGGTGGCTGCCGGATGGGTTTGATGATCTCCAGCTTTGGAGCCAGGTGGTCAGAGTTCATATTCTGACTCTGCACTACACCTGTGTGTGATCTCTGGTCACTACCGAGAGTCAGCTTCCTCATGTGTATCACAAAGGGAGATAATGCTGAGGGCAGGAGACATGGGTGAGGCCCACAGGAGGTGTCACGTGAACTGCACAAAGCACAGCACCTGCCAAATGTGTGGCAGCAGAGGGTGGGCAAGGGTGGTGAGTCTCACCTTCTCTCCTGCCTATCCCACCTCATTAAACAGAACCACATCCTGACGCTGATGTCTGTGGCGGCCCAGATCTACAAGCACCCCAGCATCAGGAACGCCATCAACCTGATGGTGGTGAAAGTGCTCATTGTGGAAGATGAGAAGTGGGGCCCAGAAGTGACCGACAATGGTGGGCTCACCTTGCGTAACTTCTGCAGCTGGCAGCGGCGTTTCAACCAGCCTAGCGACCGTCATCCAGAGCACTACGACACCGCCATCCTGCTCACCAGACAGGTCCGTGGGCGGAGCCCTGGGGAGGAAGGGCGATGCACGGGAGGATCAAAGGAGGGACTGCTGGCCCCTCCCTTGTATGGGAAGTGTCTGCCCACTGGCCCCAGATGGACACCAGAAGCCTCACAGAGACATGAGGAGGAGGAGGTCATGAGGACAGGGATCAGAGTGTGAGGTATTTGCAAGGGAAGGAGAAGAATCTTACAAGGAATCCTTGCCAAAAGTTTGTGACCAGCTGTCTTCTGAGGTCATACATAGCAAGAGGAAATGGGCTGTCACTGCCAAATGAAAGGTTTGGAGATGAAATTCAACAAGGTGTTCCCTCTTGAGTGGCTGTTAAACACAGGAGTAGTAAGCATTGGGGTCTCCTCAAGATTTCCTCAAAATCAGGACAACTGCTAATCTAGTGGCATGATTTAAATGGGCAGTTTCCCAAAAGGAAGAGAATGTCTTAATGAGTCTCGGGTGCTATTCACTCCCCCAATTCTCACAACCATCACCTGAGGTAGATAGTGTTGTCCTCCCCATTTTACTACCAGGGAAACTGAGGTACAGAGATACCTTGCCACTAAGTGGCAGCACCCTCCTGCAAGCCCAGACTGAATTCTTAGCCACCTGTGGTCTTATCCTGTGTCCAAGAACTTTGGAAGCCCTTCAAGTCCTACGGGATGGCCAATATCTAAAAATATCAGAGAACTCTTCATACGAGTGGCCTCCGAAAAGGCTCTTCAACTCAAGAGCCAAACAGGAAGATATTCTGTCCTTTGTTGCTCAGAAATCCTTCTTCACAGCCTTTGTGTTTTTTGAGATTTTTCACTTTTTGTAGCAAAAAATCACTTCATGGCTCAATCTCCCAATCAGAAGAGCAAGAACCAGAGTAAGTTGGTCAAAGACCATAATCAAGACGCAAGTGTTCTTGCAGTGCTGGGCCTCTGGATGCTGAATCCTATTGCTGCTTCTCTTTCCTTCAAAAAGTGCAACTACCAAACATTTAAATATGAGATTCCGCCTTACAGATCCTGCCACTCCCTCCCCTCCCCAGTCACTGACTGCCCCCCACTCTCTCCCCTCTCCACCAAGCAGAACTTCTGTGGGAAGGAGGGCATGTGTGACACACTGGGTGTGGCTGACATTGGCACAATCTGCGACCCCAACAAGAGCTGCTCTGTGATTGAGGACGAGGGACTCCAGGCAGCCTACACGCTGGCCCATGAGCTAGGTAAGACTGCCAAGCAATCTTCCTTCCTTTGTCGTGTCAAAGGCCGGTGTCTCTTCTAAGTCGGGTTCCCCAACTTCCCAGGAACCCTTGTCCCTCACTGGTAGCCACTGTCCCCTCCGAACTTTGACAGAGTGCCTGCACCCACTCCCACAAACCTGCTCCTCCAGCCTCGTCTTTTGGCATCTGACCTGGACTATCTAGAAGGGTTTTAGTCACAAAGCTGGTAGAACCTGTCCAAGAAGGTTGTCCAAACAAGGTTCCTTTGGACAAAACTTTAATGGGTAGAAAGATGTTTTTTGGTACAGAGGAGAGAGAGAACATTCCAGTTGTATTGTGATGACTCCAAAGTGGTGAGGGATACATGGACAGTGGATCACAAGGGGGCGGGGAAGGTAGAGCCAGTGCTTGACGTTGCACTAGAGGAGGAGATGTAACTCCATTCCTGTTCTGAGCTTACAGCCAAATTAGCAAGATACTGTTCTGGACCCTCCTGTAAGTTCACTTGGAAAATGACAGAATATGAAGCAAATGCTTGGGGTAAAGTGGTGCTGCTGTATGCAGGCCAGGCAGTAAATACAACAGGAAAAGCACTGGAAAGAGAGTGCCGCCTAAGAGCAAATCGTAGAATTGAGTGTGAATTTAGAAAAAACTGGGACAGAAAAAAGTGAATGTCAGTGTTCCTCAGTAATCGGAGAGAACTTCCTGGGAGCAGAAAGTCTGTGAGACCAGTGAGGGAGTGAGGGCCCCCTTCCCTGTGAGGACTGAGTGACTGGTTTGGCACTTCAGGGTCAGTACTCTGGCTGGCTGTCTCCTGGAGGTTCTGGATGGTGCAGACATTAATACACTCAGGTGCTAACAGAAAGGTTGCCAGTTCATGTCCACCCAGAAATATCTCAAAAGAAAATTCTAGTGATCAACTTGTGGAAAATGAGTCACTGAAAATGCTGTGGAGCACAGTTCTACACAGAAACACCGGGGTCATCTTCAGTGGGGGCTGGCTCATCCACAGCTGGGTATTGATTTGGCCAGGCCCTGCCAATAGGTCACACTGGAGAGGAATGGAGAAGAACTGAGTTTCTCTTTTCCCTAGGGCACGTGCTCAGCATGCCCCATGATGACTCCAAGCCCTGTGAGCGCCTCTTTGGGCCCATGGACAAGCACCACATGATGGCACCACTCTTCGTCTACCTCAACAAGACCTTGCCCTGGTCCCCATGCAGCGCGATGTACATCACAGAGTTCCTGGACGGTGGCCATGGTAGACACCCCCAGACTTCCCTCCACTTCGCTGTCAGCTGCTGAGCTCTGGTGCTGGTTGGCACCTCTGCTTACTCAGAAAGTATTTTCCAGAAGCATTATTATCACAAACACCTTAGACACTTAGGGTTAGAGGAGAATTCATAGATGGGCCCCACTCTCCCACCTCTGCTGCGGCATTCTAATCACACACACCCCCACTCCCTCAAGCCTGCTCCTCCAGCCTCGTCTTTTGGCATCTGACCTGGACTGTCTAGAAGGGTTTTAGTCACAAAGCTGGTAGAACCTTCCTAAAAAGGTTGTCCGAACAAGGTGCCTTTGGACAGACCTTTAATGGGTAGAAAGATGGTTTTTGGTACAGGAGAACATTCCAGTTGTATTGTGATGAGTCCAAAGTGGTGAGGGATCCATGGACAGTGGATCACAAGGGGAAGGGGGAGGGGAAGGGGTTTGCCTATGTAAAGTGAAATAGTGATTCTTCCCATTGAAGGGGCCAAATACATACACCTGAGGAAACGTATGAGGTTGGCCAGTCTTCAGCACTTTGTCTTGCACAGCAGGATGTGTGAAAGCAGAAGCTCATTCCCAATCCTAGGGTGAGCTTGATTAATGTAGAGGGCCTGAGTGGTGCAACAGTGAAGTGCTCAGCTACTTACTGGAAGGTTGACAGTTGACAGCCACTCAGTTCCCTTGAGTGGCCCTGAAAACTCTGTTGGAGCAGTTTCTACTCTACCTTCATGCTTGAGGTTGCCTTGAGTTCCAGTAACCTTGAGGGCAGCCAATTTGGTCTGAGGTTCTCAAGTGAGCCTCCATTCACTGCATTCCCTGATGCTCAACAATTTGACTGGTCAGGGAAATTCGCAGCATGTGAGAAGAAAGCCAATAATAAAAGAACTACTGTTGATAATAAAACACCAGTGCTTTGTAGGTGACTGAATGTGGTCGGGTTTTAGATTGAGATTAAGAGGACTGCCTTGTCTCTGCCTTCTGTCCCATTGATAGGAATCCCAGGATGGTATGGGAGCTCCAAGAAAAGGCCGGTCCTGTGCTCATTCCCATCTTCTACTTCCTCCATCTCTTAGGAGACTGCCTCTTAGATGCCCCAACCTCAGCTCTGCCGCTCCCAACAGACCTCCCAGGCCTCAGGACCCTCTACACTCTGGATGAACAGTGCAAGCAGATCTTTGGGCTGGGCTTCCGCCACTGCCCCAACACCTCTGTGCAGGATATCTGTGCCCAGCTCTGGTGCCAAGGAGAGAGTGCTGAGCCTCTGTGCCACACCAAGAATGGCAGCCTGCCCTGGGCAGATGGGACACCCTGTGGGCCTGGGCACCGATGCCGGGATGGTGGCTGTCTGCCTGAGGAGGAAGCGGAAAGGCCTGAGGTGAGGCACAGCTGAAGCGAAACGATGTTTTCAAGAGGGTGTAACACTTTTGAGTTGGGTACTAAGACTTTAGGCCTTGCTGCAAATTATGATTCCAAGATTATCATTTGTTTTAACAAATGAACCAAGCTTATTTGTCCAAAAGATTTAAATATCTGCTCCAGACATTTTGGGAATTCCACCTTTGAAAATGCTAAGGCTAGCTTTAATGTTCAGTGATAAAGTGTGGAGAACTCTAGTACCAAGAATAGACCACAGGTCTCAGTAAGTGGAAGCTCTAATTAATTTTATAGTAAGAGAGTGAAGCAGAAAAGCTGAGTGGGACTATCCATATCCTGCCCATTTGGGAGCTGGTAACATGGGGGGAGTGAGAGGAAATGTGGGGGTTTGTACTCAAGTTGGAGGAAGGAAGAAGGAATTCAAGTTGCCCCTGACCAGGAAGAGAAACTTGGCCCAGTAGAGTTAACTTCCGCGAAAAGCCACTGAAAGGTCCTAAATGCTTTGCATCTCTGCCCAGCTCCCAATATGCCTCCATGAGGCTGAGGAAATGTCTATGCCCACATCATTGAGCCATCACAATAAAACAGCACCCTGCTCATGTCCTATGTCTCAGCCCAGCATGAAGGTCAGAGGTCTGCCCTCAAAAACATGTCCTCTTAGCTGAATCCCATGTGCCTGCATGAGCAAGGCCTACACCCTTACTCATCTAGCCCCCTTCTCTGAGCCTGAGCGAGGGTCAGGTCACACTCAGCCCCTGCCTGCCTGTCTCCACCAGACTCTGGGATCAATGCTTATGCCAAACATCTCTTTACAACTTTAGCAGCAAAGCCGTTCCACCTCGAGAGGAGGCTGGCATGGAAAAATGTGTGCCAACCATTGTAAAGGAAAGAAGGCAGATTATGAAATCACGTATCTGTGATAAAACACCATTTTTATTTAGAAACAGCTTCATATAGTCATAGAAAAAGTATAACAGGCTAGTGATAGGAAGCATGCCAGCAGTTTTATCTGGGCAGGTATTTTCAAAGTGTTATTTAGTTTTATTGATTTTTTTAATGTTTTTTTTACTTTTCATACAAGGAAGTCTCACTTATTTTTATGATGGTAAAAAGATATATATCAAAATACTGTTATTGTGGTGAAAAGATATGTGACAAACTATTTGCCAACTCAACATTTTTTTCACATGTGCAATTTAGCGATTATATTTACTATTCACTTTACTACATTCAGCATGTTGGGAAAAATTGTTGTTGTTGTTGTTATGTGCCATCGAGTCGCCTGCGACTCATAGCGACCCTATGTACAACAGCCCTAAACTCCGCTCTGTCCTGTGCCAATCGCACTGTCTCTGACACTCCCATCCCAATTATCCCAGTCACTGCATCAATACACCTCATAGAGGGCCTTCCTCTCCTGCACTGTCCCTCCACCCTCCTAAGCATGATGTCCCTCTCCAAGGACAGGTCTCTCCTCACAACATGCCCAAAGTAAGTTAGACGGAGCCTCAGAATCCTTGCCTCCAAGGAGCCACCCGGTTTAACCCTTTCCAGGACAAATCTGTTTGTTTTCCTAGCAGTCCATGGTATTCTCAATACTCTTCTCCAGCACCACAGCTCAAAGGCATCAATTCTCCTTCTATCCTCCTTGGTCATTGTCCAACTCTCTGATGCATAACAAGTGATTGCAAAAATACCTTTATAATTTTTAACAAATAATTTTCACTTTAAAACAAAAAAACAACAGTTCTAGCAAGGGCAGAGCTCAGTTCTTACAATTTACCTGTAGAACTGGAAGCAGCTTTTTATTTCCCCAGCATTATCTGAGTATTGTACCTGCAGATGGCAAACACATGACAAAACTTCTCTTTCGGAGATTATGCCTTCAGAACAGGGTTTCTTGGCTTCAGTATTGTTGACATTTTGGGAGTAGAAAGTCTTATTGTGGGGAATGTAGTGTACATTGGAGGTTGTTTAGCAGAGTCACTGTCTCCTACCCACTAGATGAAGCTGTAAACCCTCTCCCCAGTTGTAACAAGCAAAATGTCCCAGCCATGGCTAAATACCCCTCATGGGACAAGAGCTGCTCTAATTGGAACTTGAACATTAGCTCCAATCTTACTCCTAGAAAAAGAGTTTCATGCATACACTCACTCGACCAACGTCATATTGAACACCTTAGTAAGGAAAAGGGGCTCTGGTGGCCTAGTGGTAAGAAGCTGCCCTAACCGAAGGGCACACAGTTCAAATCCACCAGCTGCTCTGTGAGACAGATTGGTGATCTCCTCCCATGTGATTAATTGCCTCTGGAAAGCTGCTGGAGGGTCAGCTATGAGTCAGTTCTGACATGATAACAAACAACAAGTGAGGACAAAGGGTGCTCTATCACCCAAGAGTCAGTGGTGACCAAATCCTGCATAATCTCACTGTTGCAAAGCCAAGAAGTTCACGCAGTCAGTGAACAAATGACCAGGCTGTCAACAGGCCTCCATTCACCAAGGTTAGAATAACCACAGGGCCCCCTGACTGGACAGACAGCCAACAGCCACCTCCCCTCACTGCAGTGTTGTGTGTTGTAGGCTGTGGTGGACGGTGCCTGGGCCCCGTGGGGACCCTGGGGAGAATGTTCCCGCACCTGTGGAGGAGGAGTTCAGTTTTCATACCGAGAGTGCAAAGACCCTGAGCCACAAAACGGAGGAAGCTACTGCCTGGGCCGGAGAGCTAAATACCAGTCCTGCCACACTGAAGAATGCCCGCCTGATGGTAATGCCACTCTTGGCGATGCTTGCCAAAGCAGTCGCTGTTATGAATCCCACAGGCGGTGGAGGGTGGGTCTTCTGAGGTGCAGAACTTTCTACATGTGAACCATTCATAAATGGGTACTGCAAGGCACCAAGGAGGAGGCATCCTGTAGGGACCTAGCCAGCTCGCACCTCATGAAAGAGCCTGGCAAAGTCAAGGAGAGAAAGTGTTCTTTTCTCCCAAAAGTGGGGACAGAAGACACCACTCCCAGAGGCATTGGAGAGGGGCTTCACAGAAGGGTTGGCATCTGGAAGAGTAATCTGCCCAGAGTCATCTGGATCCCCGTCTATGTGTAGAATTGGAAGCATTTTCCAAAGCAAGTCCAGAGCCAAACCCCCAGCATTGTTCCAGCCAACCCTCAGCTCAGGGCAGTGGGAAGATCTCTGAATCTAATTTCTGTGCACATTCCTTCTGAGAAAAGTTGTCCATCTTCTCTTGGGGCCATGGTAGTTATCCTACTGAACCCTACTGCCAGGAGGCAGCCCTCTCTTTACACTCCCTAGAATATTCCTACCCAGGTTCCTGCTTCAAAGCACACACACACTGAGAAGCAGGAAAAACAGCAGCACAGGTCTTAAAGGGGCTCTTATTAAGTATTCCCCAACCCTGTCCCCAACTACGCATAGTGACTGTAACAAGGGGCTTGAACGCATCAGAGATGGTGAGGATGGTGCAGAGTAGTGTAAGGTTCAGAGCTGTTCATATGGTCATTATGAGTCACAATTGATTCAGCAGTGCCTAACAACAACAATAGCCCTTCCAGCTCCCCTTTGTGCAGCTCCAGAAAGTACTGACAGGCATTAAAAGACAAGCAGAAGTTGGAGAGAGATTCATTCAAGTACAGAGATGCGTTGCACTGGGTTGGTATCAGCAATCAATAGGCTTTGCAGTATTCCAAGACAAGAAGGCTCAGCAGTAGCATGAGGCTCTGGAAACTGCCCTGGGATTGTGAGAGGTTCCTGGCATCCAGTAAGAAGAATGCTTGGTCCTCTGAGGAAGAGGGGATAGTGGGAATGAATACAAAGTGGCATAGTTTCAGATGTGTAAGGTTCAACCATTTCAATCAGCAAGCGTTTTATAATGTGCATGTAAACTTGTGGTGTTGCTGTTGTGGTTGGTTATTGTGTGCCACTGAGTCAGCACTGACTCATAGGTGACCCTCTAGCAGCTTTTTAGAGGCCGCAAATCATATTGGAGGAGATTGCCCATCTTTCTCCTAAGGAGCAGCTGGTGGATTTGAACCACCTGCCTTTGAATTGGTAGTGCAGCTCCTTAACGACTAGACCACCATAACTCCCTAGACTTACAATAGGTATTATAAATGATAGAAAAGGTATACAAAGCATGGTCTCTCTTCTCAAGGAATTTGCAATCTAATTGGGGACACACACCCCTCTATACAAAAATTAAGGCTTAACTATACCACAAAAAAACAAAACAAAATAAACAAAAAATCCCACCCTACTTCTGTCAAATTGATTACAGCTCATGTAATGCAGAATAGAACTTCTCAGTGGGGTTTCCAAGAGTGTAAACTGTTACAGAAACAGGTTACCTCTACTTTCCACTATGGAGCAGCTAGTAGATTCAAACTGCCAACCTTTCTGCTAGCAACTGAGCATTTTCTGCAACATTGACCCTGTGTTTGTAAGACACTAAGAAGAAGGGGAAAAAACCATCAGGCTGTTTAGAAGCTTCAAGAGAGACTGAGAATTAAGCAAGGTATAGGAGAATGTGAGGGTTGAGAAGCATGCAGGGGGCATTCAGGATCAGAGGAAAGGTTTAGGAGGGATCATTAGTTCAGAGTCCTTGGGTGGTGCAAAGAGTGAACTTGTGTGGCTATTAATCAAAAGATTGCTTATTGGAGTCCACTCAGAGGTAGCTTGAAAGACAGGTCTGGCTGTCTGAGAAATCTGCTATTGCCAACTCTATAGGGCACGCTTCTACTCTGGCACAACGGGGTCGGCATGAGTGGGGCCACCTGAATGGAAACGTTCTTTTTTAATGGTGAGTTCAGGTGGAGAAAAGCAGAATGTAGCAGCATTTCAAGGCTGGACAGTAAAGGCTCTTGAAAGCTAGAGAGAGAGTTTGGAGCTTCTCTGTCCTAGACATCCATTATGTCTCAGGGTGAGCCTTGCAAACATAGAGGCATCTCAGATGTCCTCAATCAGAATCTCCAGCCATCGGTATTCTGAAAAACCTCCTCTGGCCATTCAAAGTCATAGCTGAGGTTAAGAACTTCTGTAGTAAAGACCATACTTATTTTATTAACACAGTGTGTATGAATTTTGTACACAAACCAATATAAAATAAAGATTCTTAAGAGAGCATGCTTGTTACAGAATTATGAACACAAACCCAAGCCTTATTTTCAACCTGACTATTCTCAAGCATATTGCAGAAAATTAAAGTGGAGGCAAACTGCATGGAACAGGCTGGGCACTGAGTTCGTTCTGTGGGAGGCCACAGGGTGTCCTGTTGACTCAGCGGTGAGAGAGAGCTGCAGACATCTTACTTTCTCTACCATCCTCAACACACAGAGGCCTTAACAGTAGACTGTAACTAGTGGATTTCGTGGATTGCCATTAAGTGCTGTTGTCTGGACTCCCACTCAGAGCAACTCCATGTGCCAGAGTGGAGCAGCGTCATCGGCTGTGTTGGCTATAATCTTTACAAAAGACACTTAACAGGTCTTTGTCCCATGGAACTTCTGGGTGGGCTCAAACTGCTGATTTTTGGTTAGAAAGTAAGGATTGAACCCTTTTGCCACATGTTGTTAGGTAGTGTTGAGTCCTCCCTGCTCACTGCTTTAATCTGTCTTGTTGAGGGGTCTTGCTCTTTTTGCTAACCCTGTACTCTCCCAAGCATGATGTCCTTCTCTTGGACTGGCCAAAGTGTGTGAAATCAAGTGTCCCCTTCCCTGCTTGTAAGGATCATTATAGCTGCACTTCATGTGAGAAGACAGCTTTGTTTCATTTTTGGCCTATCTCCTTGCCACTTAGAGACATTTAAATATTTTGGAAGATAACAAGGGTTCCAGTCTTGGGCTGAAAGGTAGGATCACCACCACCTCCAAGTGAAAATGAAGCCAGATAGAGAAGAAATCATATGGAGTTCCTCAGTGTAAAAAAAAATTGCCACTGAATCAACTCCAATTCATGACCCCTCGTGTCAAAGTAGAACTGTACTCCATAAGATTTTCAGTAGCTGACTTTTTGAAAGTAGCTCACTGGGCTTTTTTCCCCACTAAGGCACTTCTGAAGGGTCTCAAGCCTCTGACCTTCTTGGCAGTTGTTGTTGTTGATTGTCTTCAAGTTGAGCACGACTCAGAGCAACCCTATGAACAAAAGGCCTGAAGCCCCTCTACAAACTATCCACATTGTCAAACTTCACAGTTTCTGGAGGCACGTTATTTAGGCTGTGGATGCTACTTCTGCTTCCAAACCTGTCATAGTATGTTATTATGTACCTCTTGGCAGTAGTCAAACACATGAACCATTTGCATCAGCCAGGGCCTCCAGTTCTCTAATAGTACCAGAGTTATAGGAAGTGGGGTACATGGGCGAAATCAGAGCTAAAGTTGCAGACTTGAGGATCTCTGGCCACATGCACAGTCAGGATGGGTGATGCTGGGCAGGGCCCCAAAATATTTGCCAATGGCTCATGCTGGATCTTGCATATGGAATTGCTCCAAATCCTTACACCATTATAGAATGTATATGACTTCCCCCAAATTTCCAGAAAGCCCATCAATAAAGCTGGATGTCTCCCTTTCTTGTCCCTAGAAGACTCAAACCCATATAGATCTAGGTCAGGGCATGTCTAGGGAAAGTGGGTGTAGAAAGGCACCCCTGCCGCCTGGCCCCAGGTTTTCTGTACCAACCACTCTACTTACGATGGTATTGTGTCTGTCTTGTCTGACTCTCCTTAGGGAAAAGCTTCAGGGAGCAGCAGTGTGAGAAGTACAACACTTACAATTATACTGACGTGGAGGGGAATCTCCTACAGTGGGTCCCCAAGTATGCAGGGGTGTCACCCCGAGACCGCTGCAAGCTGTTCTGCCGAGCCCGAGGAAGGATTGAGTTCAAAGTGTTCGAGGCCAAAGTAAGACTCCTCCGTGGAACTCAGATACAGAGGAAGGGAGAGGGGTGTCCTGCCCCTAGCCTCTGGGGGCTGCTTCTAACTCACCTACACCATTTCTGATCTTCCTTAACCCACTTCAGGTCATCGATGGCACTCTCTGTGGGCCAGAAACACTGGCCATCTGTGTCCGTGGCCAGTGTGTGAAGGCTGGCTGTGACCACGTGGTGGACTCGCCCAGGAAGCTGGACAAGTGTGGGGTGTGTGGGGGCAAAGGCAATTCATGCAGGAAGGTCTCTGGTTCACTCAACCCATCCAAGTGAGTTCCCTAGAAGTTTCATTCCTAGAGTGAAGATTTTATAATGGCTAAGAACACTTGCTTTGGAATCAGATAAGCCTGAATTATAGCTGCCACATACTAGCTATACACTTGAAACCTGCTAAGCTTCAGCTTCTTTAGCAAATATCAGTACACAATCAGCACACATCTCTATTTCAGAGTCATCATAATAAGCATTTCATGCCGTGGAACATGTCCAGCATCTGGCATGGAAAGGGCTTACCACAGAAAGTGTTCTTTTCATGAATGCTGAAGGCCACAGGGGTAGGAATGTGTTGTCTGAATCACAGCAATGAGCTCTCTGTGCCTGCTGCCCTTTGTGCTGAAAGCAGCTCTTCCCAGGCTTTTTTGGGAAGGACATCTCACACTACACCTGGCAGGCCCTATCCTTTCTGTAGAGTATCTTCAGAGAAGGGGAACAGTGAAAGGGCCTCAGAGCTTCAGTGAATCCCAGAACTCCACACACTGTACTCACATCATCTTCCCTCATGCTCATGTGTTGTTGTTTTACACCGTCCAGTCAACTGCCACTCCTAGCAACCCGATGAACAACAGATCCAAACCTTGCCTGAACCTGCACCATCCTCACCACCCCCATCATGTTCCAGCCCACTGTTACAATCAGTATGTCAATCCCTCTTGTTGGAAGTCTTCTCTTTTTCTGATCCTCCACCTTTGCCAGCATGATATATTTTTCCAAGGACTGGCCCCTCCTGACAATACGGCTAAATATGTGAGATGAAGTTTCACCATCCGATCTGTGAGGAATACCCTGGTTACACTTCCTCCAAGACAGACTTTTTTCAGCTTTATTTTCTGGTACAGGAGGAGATTGCTCCTCCTTCTCCAGCCGGGCATCTGGTGGATTTGAACCCCACACCGAGATTGCAGCACAGCTTTTTGCCACTAGGCCACCAGAGGTCCCTTTTGTTTGAGCTTCTGACAGTCCATGGGATACCCAATGTTCTTCTTTGGCCTTCTTTTTTCAGTGTTTCATATGTATACAAAGCAACTGAAAATGCCATGGCTTGGATCAGGCACATCTTAGCCTTTAAACTAAAAAGAGTTCTAGAGCTGCCATGTGTCAGTGTAGGTTTGTGTCTTGCAATGATACTGAACAGGTTTCACCAGAGGTCTAGACTGAGACACACTAGGAAAAAAGTCTGGCAGCAAACTCCCAAGCTCAGCCAATGACAATCCTGTGGCCACTGTGGTCTGAACCTATGGTGCAGAGGGGCATCGTGAGTCAGGAGGTGACCTGGCAGCAGCTAACAGGTTTCTGGAAGGGGTGTGTGGATAGATTTTTTTCCCTATCGGTTTGAACTCTGTGGGTAGAGGTAGCTGCGCAGTACTTTTAGTAGTGCAAGGAAATGAATGTTCTTCAAGTCTCCTTTGCGTCACGAGCTAGCAGGTCTGCTTTACAGGTGCAAGCCTTGAAACCCCCCTGGGTTACTGTCAAGACCCAGAGCATTTGAAGCAGATTTACCAGATGAACTAAAAGACCTTGAAAATCTCACTGTACAAAACATTCCTTTCTGCATCAGCAGGTGATTTATTTAGAACTTTGAAACCAATTGCATAATTATTTGTTGGTTGTTTCTGCCCCAGACCATGAGCATGATAACTCCCTGAGTCACCATAATGGTCCAGGCTGTGAAACCTCTGGTGCTAAGGCCACTTTTCTGTTCCTACCACAGTTATGGCTATAATGACATCGTCACCATCCCAGCCGGTGCCACCAACATTGATGTGAAACAACGGAGCCTACCAGGGGTACAAAATGATGGCAACTACTTGGCATTAAAGACCTCCGATGGGCACTACTTGCTCAATGGAAATCTGGCCATCTCTGCCATGGAACAGGACATCTCAGTTAAAGGGACCATCCTTAAGTACAGTGGCTCCATTGCCACCCTGGAGCGAATACAGAGCTTCCGGCCCTTGCCTGAGCCTCTGATTGTCCAGTTGCTGACCATTCCTGGTGAGGTCTTTCCACCCAAAGTCAAGTATTCTTTCTTTGTTCCTAATGATGTGGACTTCAGCATGCCAAACAGCAAGGAGCGAGCCACCACCAACATCATCCAGCCCCTGCTCAATGCACAGTGGGTGCTGGGGGAGTGGTCTGAGTGCTCCAGGACCTGTGGAACTGGCTGGCAGTGGCGGCCTGTGGAGTGCTGGGACCCCACGGGCCAGGCCTCAACCACCTGCAACTTGGCTCTGAAACCTGAGGATGCCAAGCCTTGTGGAAGCCAGCCATGCTCCTTGTGAACCAGGGCACAGGGACCAGCATGCTATGGACTTGGGACACCAGGACACAAACAAGGGTCCCCACCTAGGTGATCCCACACACTGAGGTAATGTCCCTTCTTTGGGTACTGCACAAACTCATAAGGACAGGAGGCAAACATGATGGATTTTAAAGGGATTATATTTAAAAGTGATTGTACTTTGCTTGTGTTCATGTAGAGGGCATAGGTGAAAAGGGTTAAAAGTACAATTATTGACCCAAACAGAAGATTCTGGCTCAGTGAGTCAGCCTTTTTGCAAAAGACTAGCCAAGTTAAATAGGGGTGGGGGAGATGCTTTCTATTTGGATTCCCTGATAAATTATCTACCTCACAGGGGAAAATATTAATAAAAGGAGGAGTATGGGAAGGAGAGCCCTGTCGTGATTTCAAAGGGTGCCCCATTGCTGTGCCCCACACTGTCTTCTCAAAATGACAATGCCTGACTTCAGTATTAAAATCCACTGCCTATAGGACACCATGTGAGCATTAATAAGCTTCAATTTAGTAAGATAAGTATTGGGCTGCTGACTGAAAGCTTGGCAGTTGGAATCTACTAGCCGCTCCTCTGAGGAAACGTAAAGCAGTCTCATCCTGAAAAGATATGCAGCCTTAGAATCTTAGTGGAGGGTCACCTGGAGATGGAGCTGCTTCCATGGCCATAAGTCTTTCTGTAAAGGACTCCAGGGTGGCAAGGATGTAGAGCCAGACCTCAGGCACTAGCTGCAGGGATGCACTGGTATCTACTATTTATGCAAACGTGTCTCTGAATAACTGAAGTGTGGCGTTGTGCTAATGCCATGCTCTGGTCTGCTCCATAATCTCCTTGGGAAGGGCAGGAGATGCAGAGCCCAAGGATGAAGACTTAGCACACAGCTTGCCTGACTGAGTCTCTTCAGACCTTGCTCCTCAGTAAACAATAGGGAGGTTGCTGCTCTATGTTCTGAAGCACCTGCTGAGTCTGAGTCATCTAGGCAGCTTTTAATTTGCTTCGCCTCAAACCCATCTAGAGGTCCTCAAACCAGCAGCACCAGGGTCACCTGGAGGACTTATTAAAGTCTTGGATTTTCATTTAATGGGCTTGCTGGATCCCACCCCCAGAGTGGCCGACTCAGTGGTTGTCATGTAATAACTTGCTTTTCTCAAGTTCCCAGGTAACCATTTTTCATCAGTTCCCACTGATGCTGCTGGTTTAGGGACCACACTTTGATGACTCAATGGAGGGTTTCCTCAGCTGTGAGTCAGTTCCAGCTTGACTATATTGAGAGAGTGTGCTTAAAAGGAAACATCCAAGTCATAGGTAACAACAGCAGCAGGATTCCTCTGCACTTACTCTCCTTGAGAAAGCAAGGCCTCCTGCACAATGTATGCCTCAACATCATTTTTTCATGCTGCTCAGCCTAGTTTCACATGAGCCTGAGGCACAAGATTATCTCACTATCTCAGGAGTCTTAAACCTGCATCTAAGTAACTTCATCTCACACCTTCAGATCCTTCCTTCTCTATATTCTGACCCACACCAAATTGCATCCTCACTGAAAAACTCTTTTGGTCTGAGCAGCTTGCAGGCATCCCAACCAGAAGCCAGATGTAGGAATGGTGTTCTCCAGAGCCACCTGAATCTGCCTGAGAGCTCTCCTGTTTTGCCACCACTCTCTTCATCTTCTAGATTCATGGTCTTTCCTGTGGTCCAGCACAGTGAGCACCGGGTCCTTGGCCACAAGTGGGGGAGAAGAAACAGATACCAGGAAATGGCATCTAGTAAAGGGAAAGTATCTACATCTCCAGCTGCCTTTTTTTCATCACTTTTGACCCTCTCTGTCCTTTCTTGTAGCTTTCTTTCAGGACTCCTTCAAATATATTGTGACATGGGCAGAAAGGACACTTTAAGGAGGTCTTGGGGATTAGACAAAAGGTCTCAGGCTGTGTGCATGTTAACTCATTTAACTGCTGAACTTAACGTTGGAGGTTTCAGTCCAAGAGAGGTGTCCTGGAAATGGACTTGTGGGAAATCAGCCGATGGAGCATTGTTCTCCTCAGACACACATGAGGCTGTTCTAAGTCAGAATCAGAGTGATGGCAAATGAATGTGGGACCCCACTGGAAGAGCTAACTCAGGGAGCACTGGTTCCCTTGTGGTAAGGAGCTGCACTGCACAACACAAAGGCACACAGATCGAATCCACCGGCTAGAAGAACAATGAGCAATATGTGATTTACTGCCTCTGAAAACCCACTGGAGGGTCAGCAATGGGTTGATTCCAACTCAATGGCACACAACAGCAATTGGAAGAAAGTCCTGAGGTTTCAGTTTCTTACTCCCCAGTTGGCTGGTCACTACTGTGCAGTAAACTGGTCACACAGCCCTACACTGTGGCCATACCACAGAGGGTGACCACTTGTCCCTGTCTGCCTTGTCTGTTCAAAGCATGGGTGGCTGGGCTGATCCTAGACAAGTATGCACATAGGCATGCAGTTGACAGCAAGGAAACCCCACTTAGACCAGTTTTTGTTGCAGCTGATGTATGTTTTTTTAAAAATTCTTTCTCTCCTTCCATTTCTCTTCTGCCAAGCTAATGAAGGCCAAATGCATCCCCCCATGAGCAGCCCCCACCAGTGCAGCAGTGTCGTCCTGCTGCCTGCACCATCCCTGCTGGCAGATCTTGCCCTGGAGCTGAGCTGGCAGGCAAGCTGCTATGTGCACAGCAGAATGGAATCCACTTGGCTCTCCTTGCTGTGTGGGCTCAACAAGACTCACAGAACGCATGCTTGTTTGTGTCTGGAAATTCAACAGCTGCAGCTCAGGGCTCCGAAAGCAGAGCTGCAGAGAGAGAGACTCACCACCCTTTTCCCCAGCCAATCCAAACACCCTTTAGCCCCAGGGAAGGGAATTCTGTATTTCCTCTGCTAAGAATTTACATTTTCCAGAGTTCTTCTAATGGGAAATCCATAAGGCCATTACTTTCCAGGTAATTGGGACCCTCCATGCACCTGCCAGAAATATTTCAGTATTCAGTCAATATCCAAGATCATTTTCATCCTTTATGTCCTTAAGAACATAGACTGGACTTAATTCCTTGCCCTTAACCTCCCTGTAGCTGACCAGTGTTTTATGAATTTACTAAAGTATGCAACATTACTCTTTCCAGTCCACCTCAACAAACCAAGCTTTCCCTCCCAAGCATATTCACTAAGGTGAGGGAGCCACCTTGTCACTACAGCTACATCTTGTACCTGAGCCCTATTAACAAGATGTGACCCTCTTTCTTGGTGCTTGAAGGGGTAGTTCTTTAGACTTTTCCCTGAACCCCACTTCTGCCACACTCTTCTCCTTACCTCAGCTCCAGAACGCTTTCTTGTGATGCCCTGAAGGAGCTTTCAGCTTCCAAAGAGAATGAAATAGCCCATTTTTTTACTCAGTGTAAATGACCAATAAAGTGACATTGTGATCATATTGACCTTATGTATTAAAAAATTTTGAGTAATTAGGTTGTGACCTATGTGCTGTTTTCTACCACACTTATATCATGGTAGTCATCCCCAGGTATCTGACTACTTTCTAGGTTATGATTGGTCAAAATTATAAAAATAGATATGCCTCTTTAAAACTGATCCCTTATTTCCCTGGTTCATTCTTCCATGCATAAGGAACTTCTTTGACATTCTCCCTTAGAAAGCAGTTGTCTCTGCTTAAAACTGAGTGTCAATCAACTCATACCCCCCAAAAACCAAAGGGGTTCCTGACAGACACTGAGAAAATGTTGGTAGAGAACATGGCAACTGTGTGCATATACATTCTGAACTGTAATGCTAATGCATGGAGAGAGATGTGGGACTCTTTAAGGCCACCTGTCGATTTTAGAACATAATTTCCCTTGGGCCTTCAGCTCAGTAAAAAGAAATATGAAAGTTCTGGTTTTCTTCCATCCCCACATCTGCCCAGCCTACCCTGGCAGATGTGCAGTTGCCCCAGGAAAGGAGTGAACATCTCACTATTCCTCATTCTAAACATCCCATGGGGCACTGAAAGAATTTGTCCTCAGCCAAACACAACTTCCTTTTTCTAAGAATGGGAAGGGGGTAATATTGAAAAGGTTTTTGAGACACTGGAGATTGTGAGTTTCTGTAAACGCAAGTGCATCAGACCCATGTGGAACAAATTTTTCTGAAAGTAAGCTGAGTTCCTCCTACTGGACCAGAGAGTGGAAAGGATAGCCATGATGAGAGGTACTTTAGAAGCTGGAGAAGAGAAAGAAGACATGTAAAAAGCCAGACCAAAGAGAGAGGGTCCAGTGATGATAAAGTTCCAGAAAGGCTTCTGAGACCACATCCTGAACTTACATATCACTCAGAACCTCCCCACGTCTGAAGTCACAAATTTAAATATCCTCCTCCAGGACCAGAACTGTTGTTAGGAGGGGCCAGTCCTTGGGAAAAAACATCATGCTAGGAAAGGTAGAGGATCAGTGAAAGAGAGGAAGACCCTCAACAAGATGGACTGGCACAGTGACCATAACAATGAGTTTGAATATATCATGATATATGGATGATGAAGATGACACAGGAGAAGGCAACGTACAGATCCATTGTTCATAGGGTGCTATGGGTGGTGGTTGACTCAATGGCCCCTAACAACAAAAACCACCAGGACCACAAATTCCAAGCCCTACAGATTCTTTATTTCTTTGTTGTTAGCTGTAGACTCCAACCCATGATGACTTTCAGGGGAACAAAACGTTGTCTGGTCCTGTGATATCTTCAGTTCTTCAGTTTATCCGAGTCCATTGTGAAATCTTTCACTAGCTTCCATTAAACTTGGTATCCCTCTTTATCCATCCTTCTACACACACTGTCACCTTCTGTGGTCCTTAGAGCCCACATTCCAGGACTTTAGCCTTGACTTTGTCAACATTCTCAACTGCCTAGCTCCACTGACTGACTGTGGTACTCCAAATTCAGACTCCACCTCCTGATCAATTCTACT